GCCTCCATTGCTCTTGGACCGGGTTCCATTCGCTTCGGATCTCTTCCATTGCCTTCTGATCAGACCTGCAGCCTACTTTGATTTGTTTCCATCATACTGCCAGCCGGTCTACGGGAGTGTATTCCCAACAGCCTTGAGTTACATGGAACCCTCGCTCTTCATGGTCTTCCATTAGTGTAATGAGGTTGCCAATTCAAAGTCGATGGAGCTTGTCGTCCGAAGGCCTATGGAAGTCATATCTTCTCGCTCTGGAAGCTCTGCAGCCTGATGGAAGTCCTTACCTTCGATATTAAAACCCTTTTGGACTTGGGGTCCAACAATTGCCCTCCTAAAAAAAAGATGAAATATACGATACGCGAAACTTTGCTCTCTTTTTGGGATTTCCTTCGTGTGAGGTTTACCGTCTTGGGCCTTGACACAATATTCCTCCCAATTTGATATCTTGTAAAGCCCTTCAGCCTTGATGTGATGGTAGCTTCCTTCGATTCCCGCGTCATCTGAGAAAGAAAAGACATTCAAGGGTTTTTCTTAGGGGTTTAACATTACTCCTCATTTTCCATTTCCCTTCGTTTCTTCCCCTTCTCTTCTTTCGAAGGATTTGTCTTGTTTGGTGAACGTGAGCTTCAAGCCGTATGGCTTCTTCGACACCCCCTCCTTCCGTTAATGTAGCTGAACCTTCACCACTGACGGCGGTCCCGAGTCCAATCCGCTACTCGATGCCGGTCGAGGAGCTTTTGCGCCCGTCCGATGATGGGAGTTCCTGGGTGTTAACACCGGCGGCGGAAATAGATCTCCAAAAGGAGGAACTCCGACGAGTCCTTGCCGGCGACGGTGCATCCCCTTTGTTGATCACGAAACCAGTTTATTCGTTGGCTCTCCGACAAGGAAGGGTCTTGACCAGATATCCCGACGGCGCAACTTTCAATGAATGGACGGCGACCCTTGGCGGCGTGGTCTATACCCAGTGGGAAGATTGGGGGATTGACGACATGATCACCGTTAGCACCCAGGTTTCTCACCCTCATCCTGATCTCATTTTTGTGCTCTTAGGTTTTTGGTGTCCAGCAGTGAACGGATTTTGTTTTTCTTTCGGCATGGTTTCGCCTACATTACTTGACATTGCAGTGTTGTTAGGTCCCCTGTAACAGGGGATGATTATGCTTTGTTCCCTCCCCCATCGAATGTCGTAGATTTTGGTATAGACTATTCGAAGTCTAGCTCGAGTGCCCTGCTTTATGGGAAGTATGGTGCGCCGAGCTCCAAAACCAATTTACTAGACAACCATAGAACTTTCTTGATGCTCTGGGTGAATCGTTTTTTCATAGGCGCAGCTGGTAGGAATTTGGTTAGGGAATATGAGCCCTTGGTAGCGTCGATAATGGAATGTGACAATTTGGCGCTTGCTCAGTTCTTCTTAGGATATTTGTATCGGACCCTTAACGATCTTTATACCCGCCTGAGTCGTGAGGAGCGCGTATCCACCCAAAGGGGACCCTTGTGGTTTCTTCAGCTTTGGGCTGCTTATATGTTTCCAGAGCTATTCGACATACCGTGGCCATTCCAAATTCCGAAGGAGGATCGTATCGGCGTGTTTTTATCTGGATTTGAATGTTCCCGTAACGCTTTCCAAATTGCTAATTTTTTCTTGTCGTCCAATGAACGTGAGGATGCACGATTCTTCCCTCTACCAGAATGATCTCATGGGCCTGATTGGTTCTCTAAGCCCCCGCCGATGAAAGAGGATGACTCCCTTGATTGGTCTTCAATTACTTCATCATGGAATCAAGTTCTAACTGCAAGGCCTTTGTTGTTGGGTCTAAGGCCTACATCTCGTTCTTTGCCCGTTGGGGTGGAAAGTTACTTCCCGCAGTTGTATGCACGCCAGTTCGGACTCCGACAGACTGTTCCAATGTACCGTTTCCATTGCCGAGGGCCCTTCCCGCTGGTGATGAAGGATGTGACCTCTGAAGGTCTCGATATGTTCCGAGGTTTGAACGCGGCCATTGAGGACTCACCCCTTCCTGTTTTTGAAACTAAACCTTCCGTTGGTTCGGAATTTTCTAGCTGGTGGGCGTCCTTAAGGGACGTTCTCTTTGCGGAACCTCCAGCTTCTTGGTTATGCCGTTTTATTGATACTGATTCTGACCATCAGAGTGAGCCAGCCAACGCTGCTGTCGAAGAGGTCGAAAGTGCGGCTCCTAAGATCATCGAGGGTAGGTGTTCACCCCTTCATTTCCCTTTGATCAATAAATGTCCATTAATCCTTGTTGTGTTCATAGTGACAGAGTCTTTCCCTGTACGTAGATCAACCCGACATGCCAAAGCCAGAGCTGCTGCCCTAAAGCCTTCGGAGAAGCGTCGTGCAACCATTTCTCCTAATATCCAGGTTCACATCCATTTCCATGTATTTTCCAAGATCACTTCATGATTTTCTAACTCGTATGTATTGTTGTATCCAGCCTGCTAAGAAGATGCACAAAGGTGTTGAGGCAACTCCTGGGGCTGAGACTACAGCTTATCCTATGGTGAATCTCCCTTCGGAAGTTCGTCCGCCGAAAACGTCTGTGTCCAAGGTATTCCCATTACCTAAGTTGCATTTCCCTTCATGCTCACATTAGAATGTTATTCACTAACCTTTTTTTATCAGCATGTATCTTTGAGAACGTCGGATACTCCCTTTCCACCTCCAGACTTTACTTCTGCCCCACCTCGTGCGGGTCGCGTTGCTTCCAATTCCATTATCAGTCAAGAGCGTATTCGGGAGTATTTCATTGGACATCAAGGTGCACCATCTGTCTCTGCCTCTGCTGGTCCACTCCCCGAAGGGATGGATGAACAATTGTCACCGCCTGTCTGGGGGCGTCCCCGGGGGATTCTGAAACTTTAAGCTCCATCCAACTGGCTTTATTGAATTTGGCGGAGTCCTCTTCCTATGCAACTCTTCCCGAGTCTATTCGTGCGCAATGGGTCAGCTTATCTTCCAAAGTGAACACTTTCGCCCAACACCGTAGGATGGCGGAAGAGAACCTAGATTTCGGGAGGACGCATTTAGATCGACTGGGAACGCTGCGGGATCAGAAACAATCCTTGCAAGATGAATTTTTGCATACTGAGGATGAAGCTTCTGATGCTTCGAGCCGGCTTGAAGCCTCTCGCGCTGAACAGCTAGCAAAGCAAGCCGAGGTGGCTCGTCTTCAAGCTCGGCTCGCCCAATTAAGCCCCGAAATTGCAGGCTTGGAACGGCTATTGGCGGAGAAACGTCGAATACAAGCTGACTTATACAAGAAGTCCCAGCGTCTAGATGCCCCCATAGCCACTTTGTCGCAGAAAAAGGTCCTATACGAGTTTAACGCCGCCAACGGAGAGGCGACTTTGAAGGAGTTGGAGTCGGAATGGGGGGCCCTGGCATCTTTTTGGGCAGTTTGTATACCTTCATCCCAGGCGTTTTCTTCATCATTTCCAGGCTCTGATAACAGACATGCAAGGGGTACATCGCCTTCTGCTCCCGTGTCTGATACTCCCATAGTTTCCCAAGCTAAACCTCCATTGCAGACTGTTGCCGACGTCCAAGTGTCTATTGCTCACGTTGTGAGGGATTTGATGTCGGCTTTAGACGTGGCAGCAGACCATAATGCCTTCGGGTTGCCTTCGACTTCAGCAGTTCCCGTCTCCAAGGAAGCAGCATCGATCCCAGAGGGCTCGGCCTTAGCAGGTACGGCCTCGAGCTCTAGTGGAACAACTTCATCTTCGGGGAGTTTCATTTCTGCAGGTCCAATTCCGATCGTTGATGGAATGGCCCCGTCTTTAGACGTTTCAACTCCAGTGGGAGCGGTGCTAGTTTTTGGTGGAACAGCTCCAACTATCGAACATTTGATTCCGTCCCCGACAAGTCCGATCCCCGTGGTAGTGGTTCCAGGGTCTGTTGGATTGGCTCCAGATTCGGCGAATTTGAGTCCAACTCCAACGAATTCAATCTCTATGAGAGCGGCGTCAAGCCTCGATGGAACGGCTCTGTCTGTAGAAGATCCAGCCCCAGTACTGGCAGATCAAATTCCTAAGGACACCACCCTTGGTCTTGATAACTCCGAACCCACTGCGAACCCAGTAACAAAAGATACTCCTACTGCAGTGTGTTAATTTTGGAAACCGCTTGCCTCTCTTTGATCTACTCGTCGTTTTGTTTGGATTTTATGATCTACTACTCATTCGGCCATTTACGATGACTCATTTTTTTTTTGTTTCTATTCGCATATTAGCGGCTTGTTAGCCTGCTTTCATTTCTCATATTGGCGGCTTAATAGCCCACTTTCGTTTTACATATTAGCGGCTTAATAGCCTGCTTTCGTTTTGCTTTATATCTAGCGGCCTGAACAGAGCCTGCTTTCATTTCGCTCATTACGTCTAGCGGCCTAAACAGAGCTTGCTTTCAGTGTGCACATTACATTTCTTTATCTGAACTCGAGTGGTGACATATATCCTTTAAGGTGCTTAACGTTGATAACGGTTCTATGTTCTATCCCATCAATACTCATCAATCTGTAAGCACCGTTAGGCAGCACTCTACTTACTTGGTACGGACTTTCCCATGTAGGAGACCACTTCCCGAATGTATTACTTTGAATCCTTCGGGTAGCACTGCCTTCCATACCAAATCTCCTTCTTGGAATGTTCGCCGACGTACCTTTTTATTGTAAGCTCGCGCTACTTTCACTTTACTTGCCCTGATATTCTCCAAAGCCATCATTCGATCCTCGTGTACGTCATCCAATCTTTGTAACATCGCTGTGTCGTACTGCTCGGGACTAAGCGAATTTTGCTTTAACACTCGTAACGATGGCACCGTGATTTCCAACGGCAATATCGCTTCTTGTCCATAAACCAGTTGGAATGGAGTGCAACAGTGGCTTTATTTCGGTATTGTCTGCAAGCCCACAACGCCTCCCCTAACACTTCGTGCCATCTCCTCAGGTTATCTTCTACGGCCTTTTTGATTACCCCAATTAAGACTTTGTTGGCGGCTTCGGCCTGCCCATTTCCCTGCGCATAATACGGGGACGAATGCAGAAGAGCAATCCCATACTGTGCGGCGAAGGCGGCCACTCTGTCGCTGGTAAAACAGTGCCTTGACCGGCGGTAATCGTCTGCGGGATTCCGTACCGATGAATAATGTGCTCCTTAATGAACTTGATCACTTCCTGATATGTCACATTGGCCAACGGTACAGCTTCTGTCCATTTTGTGAAATAGTCCGTGGCCACCAATATGAACGAGTGGCGTCTGGAAGATGGCGGATGGATCTTCCCAATGATATCCATCGCCCATCCCCGGAATGGCCATGGTTTCACCACTGCGTGCAATTCTTCCGCCGGAATTCGGATCAAAGGACCATGCCGCTGACACGCTTCACATCCTTGAGCATACTTAATACAATATTCCGTCATTGATGGCCAGAAATACCCATATCGTCGGATCGTCCATCTCATGATTGGTCCGGATTTGTGCGCTCCACAAATTCCTTCATGCACCTCACCCATCACCTTCATAGCTTCTTGATTATCTACGCATCTCATTAACATTCCATCGGCGGCTCTGCGGAAAAGATCTCCGTCAATCAGAGTATACTTCAGAGCCTCTTTCCGCAGCTTTTCCGGAGTTTCACCGGTTGGTTGTTCCAAGTATTTCTTTAGTTCCATGCGCCAATCTTCTGCATCCACTGGATACAGGTATACTCGGCCCGATTTGAAGTTTCCTGCGGATGATGACTTATACCCAGAGGCTTCTTGGGCCAAATCATTAGCTATCTTGTTTTCGGCTCGAGGTATGAATTCCACCACTGCATCGTCGAAGGTTTGCAACATCCTAACTACTTCCATTCGAAGATTTCTCATCCTCTCGTCTTTGCATTGGAACTCTCCAGTAATCTGCTTCAAAATTAGTTGTGAGTCGCCTTGAGCTCTAATCGCCTTAGCCCCTTTTTTACGTAGGATTCTCAATCCAACTAATAAGGCTTCGTATTCTGCTTGATTGTTAGTGAATCCGGGTGTTAATGGCCTAGCAACAGTCCACTTTTGTCCCCAGGGACTCTCGATTAATACCCCAGCTCCAGCACTCATCTGCATGCTGGACCCATCAAACTTCAGGATCCACGGCATTGGACCGATAACAACTTCCATACGGTCAGTCGCTTGGACAATTTCCGAGCTCGGATGATCTGCTAGAAAATTAGCAACGAATTGTCCCCTAACAGCTTTGATCGGTACATATCGTAGATTGAACGCGGCTAGCTTTACGGCCCATTTTGCTTGTCTTCCCCTTAAAGCTGGCCTGCTTAAAAGGTATCTCAAAATATCGACGTGACATACCACTTCTGTTTCTCTCGGGGCTAGATAATATTCAAGTTTCGTACAAGCGTAAAATAATGCAAGACATAATTTTTCCATAGGAATGTACCTTGTCTCTGCATCATTCATTACCTTACTAAGGTAAAAAATGGCACGTTCGCTTCTATCAGGAGCTTCCTGCGCCAGTAAGCAACCAACCGTATTTTCAGTGGTGGAAACATACAAGCGCAGAGGTTTGCCTACTTACGGCGACATCAACACTGGTGGATTGGCCATAGCTTCTTTAATGGCTTCGAAAGCCTGCTAGTGTAGCGGCTCCCACACGAACTCTTCTGTTTTCCGCAACTTGAGCAATGTGGAAAAAGCTTTAAGCTTGCCTGTAGCGTTCGAGACAAATCTGCGTAGAAAATTGACCTGCCCAAGGAATCCTTGAAGTTGTTTCAGATTCTCAGGCGGTCGGGCGTTGATGATAGCTTTCGTCTTGTTACTATCTACCTCGATGCCCTTATTATGCACCATGAAACCCAAAAAATTCCCAGAGGCCACTCCGAACGCGCACTTCGCTGGATTCATCTTCAAGTTATAATGCCTCATTCGTCGGAAGGCTTGCTCGAGATCCACCATATGCTCCGAAAAAGTCTTGGATTTCACCACTATGTCATCGATGTAAACTTCCATCGACTGTCCAATTAAATCATGGAATATGGTGTTCATTGCTCGTTGGTAAGTCGCTCCAGCATTTTTCAACCCAAACGGCATCACCACCCATTCGTACACTCCAAGGGCTCCTGGGCATCGGAATGTCGTCTTTGCAACATCCTCTTCAGCTATAAAAATCTGATTATAGCCGGAATACCCATCCATAAACGACAAACTCCCGTTCATGGCGGCTGCATGTACTAACATATCGGCAACAGGCATGACGTACTCGTCTTTGGGTGTTGCCAGATTCAGATTGCGATAATCGACACACACCCGTAATTTTCCATTTTTCTTAAGTACGGGAACGACATTGGCCACCCATTCCGGGTAACGACAAGTCCGAATGAATCCTGCTCCCAAAAGCCGCTGGATCTCTTCCTTGATCTTCGGGTATACATCTGGATTGAACCTTCGTGGCGGCTGTTTGTGAGGTTTATATCCGGCTTTTATGGGTAGCCGATGTTCCACTAGTTCTCGAGCCAAGCCTGGCATTTCGTCGTAGTCCCAAGTGAAACAGTCCCGGTACTCCTTTATAAGTGTCACCAAAGCAGCTCGATCTTCTGACTTCAACAGCGCACTAACTTTGGTAATTCGCGGAGATTCATCGCTACTCAGATCAACATCTTCCAGTGGATCCTGGGCCTGGAACGCTGGATAGTTTTTATGCACAGGCGACGGTAATTCCACTTCGCTAGTATTTTCCTTGGACATATCCGGACCGTCGGTGCATTTTCCTCTGAGCTGTTCCGCTTCTTCCTCGGGGTCTACTCCGGTCGGCTCTGGATGTTGCATAACAAAGCCTGTTTTGGGCGTCCCAGGGTTTTTCAAAGGGCCAGCTCTAGGCGGCTCTGGATTCGCCACAGAATCTGTTTCGAACCGCCCACCGCCTTCTGTGGAACCTGCTATGAACGGCCCTGTATTCGTAACAGGGCCTGCTCCGTGCGGCTCAAATTAAATTTCGACACATTCGAAATTCATCATAATCTTCTTCATTCATAGGTCGTGGATCGGCCTTCTCTTGAATTCTGAATTGAGTATCGCTAAATATGCATTCATAATTTCCTTCGTTAGGGATTGAGACGATTACTTCAGAAAACGGGATCATCTTCGAATAGTAGAAAGTTGCATCTACGGCTGTAACTTCCGCTGCGAATGGGTATTTCTCCACCTCCACTTCCTAAACCTCATCGCCATCCCAGAACAGCAGCTTTTGGTGCAAAGTTGACGGTACACACTCGCAAGCGTGAATCCAGTCTCACCCCAATAATGCCGCATACAAAGGACGACTGTCTATTATTACGAACGCTGAAGACAACTTCTTGGTGCCTACTTGTACCTCCACATGAGTGATTCCTTCCGGTTTATACGAGTTTCCCATGAAATCTGTAGCTCGCACCGAAGTTGGTATTAAGTCATCCCTTGTCTTTCCTAATTTTCTGAACGTCCGAAATGGCATTACATTGGCGAATGCGCCACCGTCTATCAATACTCTGCCCACTGGTCGTCCTTCCATTAAAGCTTGAATGTACAGGGGTTTTACGTGTTTATTCTGCCCGGACCCGATTCGATCAAAAGTAACCGTTGTCACTATATCGTTCCATTCTGCCACTGGTTCTTCATCTACGGTCACTCCCTCATAACTCCGCTCCCCTTCTGGAGCTTTGAATTCAGAAGGCAATACCCCTACGACTAATAGATGACCATCTCCAGCACCACACTCTTTTGGTTGTACAGTTTTCGGCACCCATCGACACTGCCAGTTTGGAGTCGGTCTGGCGTTTGGAGTAGAGAAAATTATGTGAGGTTGTAACTCTTGATTTTTCTGAGGTCTCTCTTTCTGCTCACAAGTTTCTGAGACTTTCCCGTCCTGATTTGCTGCTTGCTGAATTTCCGATTCGATTTTCTTGCCTTTAAACCCTGCACTTTTCTGATTTGGCTGAACACCTTCAGCTTCCAACTTAGCCTGTAGTCGTTTCCTTTGTGCCCTTCTCTTCTGGGAACGTGTGAGGTCACCCATTGCCCTCCTAGCATTTGTCTCCGGCACATTAACAGTCCATTTCTCTGAATCTACGGCTGATGGAGGTTTCCGTGTCTTTCTTGGAGTATTAGTAATCTGATCGGCAGATGTAATGGTCCAGACTCGCTTCCCACTAGCAACTTTTACTTCAGCCACTGTAGCATCCGGCTTAATAGTGGAGCCTGGAGCTGTGGCTTTATTTATCATAGCATGACGCTCCGGAACTTCCTGGGCATTCGGAATTGTCACTTTCAGATTAGGGTTCCTTTCTACGACTCTAGGTTCCTTGTTTCCAACATGTTCATTAGGCGTCTTTCTCACAGACAGCCTATTGAACACTGAACCCCGTTGTGGAATCCTGGGCCCGAGTCGTTCATGAACCGATTTCCGAACCAGTTGCTTTCCTTTGTTCTGTCCCTTGAGACCTCTTGTAGACATGGTATTGATGGATGGTGCAGGAAACGGATTCGTATCCACCTGCATACTACTCTTTTCCGCTAGCTTTAGTCTACCCTCGTCTAAAGCCTTCTGAATTGTGTTTCGTAGGTACGTACAATTGATGGTAGCATGTGTATAACTCCCATGCCACTTGCAATACACTTTCCCTTTCAATTCCTCTGGTGACGGCACTCGCTGCCCATCTCGGAGTTTGATTTGTTTGTCCTTCAGCAGATGATCAAAAATCTGTTCTACTTTAGACACATCGTAGGTATACTGCATGCCTCCGACCTCTTTACCTCTTGTAGGTTTTAATGCCGAACAAGAGTAAGTTTTTCCTTTCAATAGTTCAGCCGCTAGCACTTCTTGTTCCTCGCCACAGTCTTCATCGGCTGAACTTTCCTCATTGGCACAGTAAGTTATTCCTGTTTTTTCTTCTTTATTCCACCTACCTACAGCAGCATCCCGTCTCTCTCGAATGAGCTTTTGTGCTCTCATTGCGAGTGCACTTAGATGCGAAAAATCCTGGAAATCCTGAACTCCCAAACGGTCTCGAAGATCTGATCGCATATTATCCACTGCCATCACAGTTGCTTGCTGTTCGGGGATCTGCACTGTGCACCATGTCTTAGCTTGTCGAAACCTTTCCAAAAATTGTGTCACAGGCTCATCATATCCCTGTTTTACAGCTACCATGTGGGATATTGTAGTCTCCACCGGTGGCGCGTAAAAACGGTCATGAAAAAGCCTCTCTAAATCCGACCAAGACTGCACAGTAACTGGAGCTAATGATGTATGCCACGAAAATGCCGTACCCGTCAGAGACAAAGAAAACAATTGTAAACGATACCAATCATTTCCTCCCAAGTCCCCGCACTGAGCTGTAAATTTCCTGATATGCTCTATCGTTGATCTCCCATCTTCGCCGGAGAACAGTGTAAAATCCGGTGCTTTATTTCGAACGGGCAACGGCATCATCTCACTTACCCAAGCTGGGTAGGGTCTTTGATACACCGGTCGCTCTTCGAATTTCATTCGCGGGAAAGCTCTTCGGATACTTTCCACTAGAATATTCTTATGTATTAATGGTCGGGCTTCCTGCTGATTAGGAATCAGCGGCTGCCCTCCTGGTCCCCAAGCTTGACTAGCCATTCCTCCTTGAGGGACAGCGGCATAAGGAACCTGCTGCACCCATGGCGGTGGAGGTGCATTCCAAACGGGTTGTCCTGCGACCTGCTCTGGCAACGCTGTTCCTGGAGGGGCTCCGTAGACGCCGCTTCCTGCGACATCTTGTCCTCCCACCATTTAAGGGCCACAGCCTCCGCTGGGTTGCCCTCCTTGCGGGCGTTGAAGAATCGTCACATTACCGAATTGCAATCCTGCTCCACCCGTCGGTCCCTTAGGCGATCCAGTGTTTCCCCAAACCAAGTTAGAACCGGTGTTTCCTGTGAGAGGCGGAATCCCTCCAGCAGATGGAGTTACCCCTCTCGGTCCTCCATATGTGTTTCCTGAAATTCCAGAATTCTGGATTCCACTGGCCGCTGCTCGGCGTTCTTCTTCGCGAATCTGAAACGCTTCATTCCTTACAGTTGGCCGGATCACATCAGCCAATTGCCTGGAAATTTCATATGTGATGTCTCTGATTCCGGCCTGAATACACTGATTCACTTCTCTGCGCACCATGGTTACCATCGTCTCGGTCGACGATGATTCCTCATCTCTCCTCAGCCCTAGGATGCGGCTTCCACTGGGATAAACCGGCGTTCCAGTTCCAGTAAATCCTGCACCCTGATTCTGATTGTCCATGGCGATCACTTTACCGCTGCAAAGTTGCATACACGAATACGAACCCGACTTGGTCCCACTGGGCGTGCCAATTGTTGGATCTTGCGATTCGGAATTCCAAAATAGCTCGTCGATTTTGTCGGTGTGGGTTCCGGAAGTACTCCAGAGAGCCAATCCGTCGTCGGGCAATGCAGAGATTAACGAACTACACTACGATTAACTACGGAAAGCGAGTAAATAAATTACAGAAAGCATGTAACCGGAATTAAATTGCATAAACAAAAATAAAACAAGGAAGAAAAATATGAAAAGATGCGATTTTCTGTTGTGCGTGTGTGTGTTGTGTTTATTTTTCTTACTTGTAATCCTAGGCTAGAATAACTACTTCTCCCACTAACAGGGGTAGTTACAAATTATTCTCATTTCTTTCTACTCCTCTCAACCATCAAATAACCTCCTTCCATCAGTTCCCAACGGCTTCCATTGCTCCTGGGCCGGGTTCCATTCGCTTCGGATCTCTTCCATTGCCTTCTTATCAGACCTGCAGCCTACTTTGATTTGTTTCCATCATACTGCCAGCCGGTTTACGGGAGTGTATTCCCAATAGCTTTGAGTTACATGGAACCCTCGCTCTTCATGGTCTTCCATTAGTGTAATGAGGTTGCCAATTCAAAGTCGATGGAGCTTGTCGTCCGAAGGCATATGGAAGTCATATCTTCTCGCTCTATGGAAGCTCTGCAGCCTGATGGAAGTCCTTACCTTCGACATTAAAACCCTTTTGGACTTGGGGTCCAACAAAATCCATCGAAATCGGTAGTTTAGGCTCGAAGCCTCGTTTAAGCTCGAAGCCGTGCAGGCTCCACCGAAGAAGTCGCCCCAAATCCAACGACGAACAAGCTCTTTGGAGTACTTCCGGAACCTACACCGACAAATTGACGAACGGTCTTGGAACCTCCGAATTTTAGGTTCCAACAGAACTATAAGTATAATCTATTATTCCTTGTCTATCATATTTAGTTCATATGGGTTCGGCACGGTGATTAAGAAAAATAAATATTTTATTTAAAAAATTTAAAAAGTAAAAAAGTAGTTTATGATATTTTTGAAAATTTAATTAGTAATTAAAAAGGATAAAGAGTAATAATTAATAATTTTTTTTCCTTTTCCAAATAAAGTAATAAGATAAATTTTGTGGACAGATGAAAAAAAATGAAAATAAATTTTGACGGAGAAATATTAGTATATAAATTTATTAATATAAAGGATTTTTCGATTCTCGTTGAGCGTAAACTTTGGGAGAGAAATTCAGAGAACTTGGTGTGTTTCTTTTGGTTTATTTTTAAAAATTTGATTTGAATTTGATATTAAAATAATATTTGATGAGATATTTTGCGACAAAAAAAATGTACTTCCTCCGTCACATGTAAATTGTCCATGTTATTGTAGATACAGAAATTTAGATAAAATATAATTAACACGTAATTAAGAAGTGTATTAAAGAAAAATAATTATTGTATAATAAAAATAATTATAGATTAAAATTACGATAACTAAAAAGTTTAATTAAAATTAAAAAAATTATAAATTATAAATTATAAAATATAACTAAAATGTATAATTATATTTTTATTTTGAAAAAAACAAATTATATAGAATTGACCAAAATAAAAAAGTATGAATATTTTATGTGGGACGAGTGACAATTTTTTTTTTATTTTTTTATTTTATTTTTTTTTTGAAAAAATCTATGTCCGAGATCCCTGCCCTTATAGGAGGGCCTGATGCCGAGTACCCTGTATAGTTAAATGTATTTTTAGCGGAAAGAAAGCTGACGGGTTCGGCCCAAACCCAATCAATCCAAAAGCAACCAAAGCTTCCAACGAAGAATCTTCAGGGTCGCAATTCTGAGAGTCGAAAGTTCCTCTTCAAACCTCCAGTGTTCTTGCTGTGATAATTTGATCATGTTAGATTCTTCGTCATATCTCTTCGCTCTGCGTTTGCTTAATGCATTATTGTACACCTTGTTTATGGAACATGCTTGTAGTTGATTAATACAAACTTTCTAGTTTAGCATCGATTATACATACCCGATGATTTTAATCTCTGAGAGTATTTTAATTTGTTGATAATCTTCTGCATCTTTGTAGTTTGTGCGAGATCAAAGCCTTAAATCCAGTTTTGGAAATTTATTGCTATTCCACACGCCTAAATTGTAGACTGGAGATTGTGAGATGTTTTTCGATATTCTGATTTCATATATATTTATATAATTAATGTTTATACATTGTAATCTGGAGATTAACTTCTTGTCTAAGTTTTATATTTTTTCGATATCCTATGTTAATGTGTAGTTTGGGAAATGGAAAATAGTGACCTCTTGAAACCTTAAATAGACCTATTATGTGGACAAAGCCTGGTTTAGGCTTACAAGTTCTACCCTACTAGCAGATCCAAGCCGTTTTCCTAACACTTTTTTTTTTTTTTTCACTATTATATCTATTTTTCGTTGAATATATTATATGTAAAATTGATTTGTTTTTTCAAAATATTACATCAAATACCTAAATATATATTTTGTATGTATTTTGGAATTTTGGATTGGTTGGGAAGAGTAGAAAAGTATTTCTTTGTGTTTGAATTGGAAAGATTAAGTTGGAATTTTGTATTTAAATGATGTTTGATGTGATGTTTTGTTAAAGTAAAAATGTATTTCTTTCAGAAAATGCAGAGTTCAAATAATAAAAATTAAAAAACTTTTGCTAAAGAAACGGATGTTTTGAATAGGAAACGAGATTTTTTATGTAACATTTTAAATGAAAATAAGGTTTTGGATATAATGATTTTTAGAGAGATTTTTTTTTTGAATAATGGGAAAATGAGTTTGTACATATATGTAGCATGTATGACTATTGTGTTATGCACTATTCTTGGCATTTATAAATAACAAAGTCATTGTTACTTGTCGTAGATATAAATAAAGCTGGTGATATGAAAAATTGACTTACAGTCAATATAATATTCTGATTGTTTCAAGTTTCTGTTGATGAGAGAAGGTGATTGTTTTTGGGGTTTATTTATCTTTGGATGTTATCATTTTATTAATACACGTTACCCTTTCTAGATCGATAGTTTCTAGAACCATGAAGGCTTTATATTTGCTTAAGTTGTAAAATCCTCTCATTCAGTTTGGAGGAAAAAAATGAGCAAAAAAGAACTGGAAGCAGAGAGTTATTTCAGCAAAGACTTCAGTTGGGATGAATTGAGAGAAGAGGTAGAAAATAATCCCTCATTTCAGTTCCATTTGCACCCTTATTCTTCAAAAAGGACTGCCAATCAAAACCACAATGCTCTGAAAAACGCTGAAGCTTGGGATAAATTTCATGCATGCCATTCCAGTGGCAAGTTTTTCAAGGTAAAAGTAATTTGTGTGAGTAATTGACTTTCCAAATTTATCTTTACAAGGTTTAACTTTTCCAACTAATGAAAGTATGTCTTTTGGAGGAAACTGAGTATTTGAATGTAGTACCAAAATTTCCTTACATTTGTTCTTTTTTGTTTGACTAATTTGTTTCTTTTGCTTTATTCATTTGTCTTTTTTATGTTGCACTATACACGCTTGTGTGGCTTTCATGTGAAAAAAATTCAAGTTTTACTGCTCTGCTGTCTGTATTTATTGCCCCTGCTACACGCCTAGACTCCCACTTGTTAGTTTTCTCAGCCAGTCCAAATTTCAGTTTCATGCTTTAGATTACTAATACCCAATGTTGTTTATAGTGTTCATCATAGGCAATTTGTATAAGCTAGCTATATATACATGTAAATATTGAATACCAATACTTATACTTGGTTAATTTATTAATGTATCCCTACATAAGTAAATATTTACTTCCATTCAGATTAGCCAGCCAGAAAGGCAAAAAAGTATAGAAACTGTCGACTTTAGCGAAAGAAATCTTTTTTGGATGTTATGAGGCTTAGAACCTACAGTGTAAACAATATACTGCAAAGATTGGTTTTCTATTTTCTCTTGGGGGACTTGTTTCCTTTACTTAAAGGAGTTTTTCTGAAGCCTCGACAGTTGATTTATGCATAATGCTTTCTCATAACAAATCACCATTCACAAAGTTTGGATCATGTTTAATTTGTTTAATTTCCATGATATCATTCTTTACCTTATGGCTTGCCAATTGCCTAGCCTATTAATTTGATGTAATAATAAATCTATATTTTGCTACTGCATTTTGTTCTACATCATTCCATTTTCACATATTATGCTGTTAAAGCTATTCATGTTCAAACACACACTGTAACTCTGCTTTTCCCTTGTAACACTGGTGAAATTTATTTGAATACAGGAGAGGCGATACTTGTTAAAGGAGTTTCCTGAACTTGCTTCTTGTGGGGAAAATAAAAAGGTTTTGGAGGTGGGATGTGGTAATGGCAGTACCATTCTACCAATATTGCGGTAATCTCTTTTCTTAGTTTTTGGACAGTTGTGTGGATTCATCATTGTAATTTCGCTCTACGTTGTAAATACTCCCTATGATTAACAGAACTACTGAAATTAATAACTGTTCATTTTTTCAATATTGTTGCATTATACATTCTTGTGAGAAACTCATTTTTTCTGGAGATTGCTTTCTGAACCAAAGCTTGGGTTATTGGTCAATGTAATATTGCTATACAATGACATTCTCCTTGATTATGTGGCATTGGGCACATGTTCTCTCTATGTTTCTGTTCTGATCACATTGTTGCCATTAACCTATTCTTCTTCTGCTGAAAGCTGAATCCTGAAAAGATTGGAGAGGCTTGGATATTTTCACTAAGCCCATTAACCATTATCTTTGCTTTATCACTGCTGATGTTTATGATCATAAAATGTACATGCCATCTAAAATTTTGAGATAATCATAATTCATAACCATCATCATCATCAAAGCTTTCATTTCTCTATAGGGGTTTAACTGTTTTTCCAATTTGTCCGTACCTCCCTCCCATTTCAAAGTAATATTCTTCACAAATTTATCACTCCTGTGCTTCTACTGAATTTTTGCCATTTGACAGTGGACATGAGAGCATCATCGTATATGCCTGTGACTGTAGTGATGAGGCTCTTGAGAGGACTAAAGAGATAATTGGGGCTGCTGATTCAATACCTGCTAAACATCGATTTCATCCTTTCCTATGGGACTTTTCCAACAGGTTTCCTTCATGGTTGGCCTGCCATTCTTGCTCTGGGACATCTTCAGGTACATTAAGATACTATCACTACCTGTGCAATTAGTTTTTTTTTTTTTTTTTTTTTTTCTCCCAACTTTTTATTTTAAATTCATTTATTTAAGATTATGGGTAACACCTTAAGTACACCTGAAAGAAAATCATCCATTGAAATTTATCCAGGTACAAACAGCAGGGATGAGATGGGCATGCTTAATCCATCCTGCTATAATGAAATCGAATGCTGTATTGGTGGAGTCGATTTTGTTACATTGGTACCTTAACATTCGAATATTACATGTATCTCTTCATTACTTCGATTTTTATTAAAAAGGGGGATCAAGCAATGAAACCTGAATATTATTGCATATAACTGTGCCAGATATTCACTTTATCAGCCTTACCCGTTGATAGGATGCCTACAGCCATTGCACAGTGCTTTGGTGTTTTAAAGCCTGGTGGCTTGCTGTTGTTCCGGGACTATGGTACCATCAAAACCAGACTTATCAAGTATACTATGTTATCCAGTTTCTCTGATTTATGCTCAAACACTAAACTGCTGTTTCGTTAGATCAGGTCTTTATGACATGACCATGCTTCGATTCAAGGCTGAGCAACAGGTTGGATACAGAGAGTACATGCGTTCGGAAGAGACAAGATCTTATTTCTTCTGCTTGGATACTGTTCGAAATTTAGCTTCTGCTGCTGGCTTCATTGAGGTATAAAATAACCCTTGTCACATTCTACCTATCCTTAATAATCACTTACTTTGTGTTCATTGAGCTGGTATTTGGGTCAAAATGCTCTATGATTTCATTTGTTGGCGAAAAGAAAAACATATTTTCATTGATTGATTGATTGATTGATTGATCGATCTACACTTAAAAGTGGCCATTCTAAGCATATACTGGAATGTTCATTCTCAGAGATGTTTTGATTTATTGTCTGTGCTTGCTAGAAGAAAAACATCGGCTGGCTGTCGTTTGCATGCGCAGGTTGAGCTTGAATACTGCTGCGTGAAGTCGGTGAATCGGAGGACAGGGAGGATGATGAAAAGGGTATGGGTTCATGGCAAGTTTCAGAAACCCGGTGGGGAAATAGAATAGAATCCCTTCCTGCAAAAGAATCAGGTTTGGCTTAAATCTTAATTCCGTTTCTTGCCGGCTTTTCCCAATTCTTTCAGTTTTAAATTTTTTAGTATTTAGAAAAATGCCCCACACGCACGTGCATGCATACACGACTTTTAACCAATGGATTTCTATTGTTAAATTGCTGCTTTGTGTGAAACTCATTTGAAACCTTGTAAAAAATCGCTTTGGCGTTCATAGTATTTCCATTTATTTTTTAGTAATATAAAAATTTTACTGCTAAAATTGCTCCTAACTACCATGTGATTTTAAAATTCTACTTTAAAAATTGCATCCCTTATATTTTCAAAAACGTTGCATGAAACTCCAACACCGTATAATCTCTTTTGCATAGCGGAGGTTTCATGCAATATTTTTGAAAGTATAAGGGGGTGTCATGCAATTTTTAAAAGTAAAGTGGAGATTTACGCTGAGTTTCGAAACCACTGAAAGGTTTGATGCAATGTTTTTAAAAGTATAAGGGGGTGTCATGCCATTTTTAAAGTAGATGGGGTTTTACGTTTAGTTTCGAAACCACAAAGAATTATGGGCAATTTTGCTAATTTTACTTGAAAAAAATATTATTCCATGTAAAAATATTTTTCAGTCTGGTTTCAATTTTTTATTACATCTTTTTACAAAAGTATATTATTATTTAGTACTATTTACTCCCTCTATCCCATTAAATTAGTCTCATTTTTTTTTCACGGAGTTTAAAAAATATTGTATTATATAGTTAATTAGGTTGATTAATTTATATAATATTTATAATGTATTGTTTTAATTTTTTTATTTAGTAATATTAAAATGAAAATGAAAATAATTCTTTTTAATATTTATGCTGAATATTTTATATTTTGAAGTTAATTTTTTAAAAGAATTATTGTATTAATTGGAAAACTGTAATAATGTAAAAAGAAAAATTAATTTTATTAATCTAAATATAATTAAACAATTAAAATATGATGTGACTCTAAATTTTTTAATTTAAATACTAATATTTTACGTAAAATACTTTTGGAAGAATTTATAAAGAACAAGCAAAGGAACAACTTACAAGAAAGGATTGAACGAGAACGCCTGCAATTTTGACGAAAAAATAAAACCTCCAAAACTCATTGAGAAGAATTGCGAAGAAGAAAAACCAAAGAGGAAAAAATCGATTTATGTTTCCCACACCAATTGAATTGAAAAAGAGAAGAAGAGGAGATATAACGAAAAAGAAAAGAGTGTAGATATAAGGTGTGGGTCGGATTAAGGTTACAGTAGAAGGCTGGGTTATAGGGTTTGAGTTGCAGGTTGGGTTTGGTTTGGTTTTTGGAGTTGGATTTGGGCCAAATTTCAATATTCTCCACCAATTTGGCCATGTCATTACCGATGACTGCTCCTTTTTCGCCTAATCAAGTGACATGAGAATTGTCCGGGAAGATTCACCAATACACTCACAACAAACGTTAAGTAAACCATATACTTACAAACAAGCATTAGTCTTGCAAAAACTAATAGTTCATTAAAAAAAAAAGGACAACTTAAACGCAAGAATGAGCAACATGCGAACTCCACCTTAGAAACTAATCACAAAGTATATACATTTTATGACACCACAAAGAAAAACCTAGCGAACACTTATACTAAAGAATCCTATCACATGCTTGAACACATAGAAACACAAAAACAAGCATACATCGTACTAAAAAATTTGACATTGACCACAAAGAAGTTAAAAATATAAGTTTTTCACATTATAACACAGTGAAACAATTATATCACAAAGTCTAAGCAAACACTATCACAAAGCATGTAGTTAGACAAACACTTATATATTCCTAGGAAACTAACAATCTAGATTAATCACTTAGACTAAAAAATAGAAATACAAAGCACAAAGACAACAAAGAAATAAAATCAAATCACAACAATAAAATTGATTTACTCCATCTAGCAACTAAAAATACATGTTATTCACTATTCACAAAGGATACACAAACAAGACAAAAACAACATGCATTTAAACATTCAGAATTATGTCAAAACTGAATTTTTATGCAGATTTTAAAAACAACAAAAAAAGATTTCAACGGCATTGGCTTTTAAAAAAAAATCCAGCACTTGTTCTTAACAAGAAAAGAAGCCAAAAAAAGCCAATTTTAAAAGAGTTGTTCTATCACGAATATACACATACTAAAGACAAGTAAAGAATATCAAAATTCAATCAATATACATCATCTAAAGTTTAACTACACAAAGCCATATTTGATTGATCATTGAACTCAATTATTTGATTTTTGTTATTTACTTGACTTTTATTAGTTACACTATGGCACTCTTTAATATAATGGTCTACTCCACCACACTCATAACATTTTCTAGGCAATGAGTTATAATTCTTTTCTTTATTTTTTTTTATTATTATTTGATGATTGATTATCTCTATTGTTGTTGTTTTTATTATTTCCTTTAAAAGTTTAGCCTTTAACATGCATAACTTCACCATTAGAGTTTCCAATCGATTTATTAGCTACTAAATCTAATTCTTTACTTTTTTAAGTCATTTATCATTATATCCAAAGTAATGTTATATTTATTATATTTAATTGTGGATTTAATAGCACTATAGGAATTGAAAATGACATTCAAAAGCACAATCGGAGAATATTCATCAATATATTAATCTCCACTCAACTTTATATATTGAATTAGTTTAGTAAAGAAATCTATATTCTCATCAACACTCTTCTTAGTGTCTAGTTTGAATTGAAAAAAAATTTCGAGTAAAAAAATTATTTGACAAGATTATTTCCGTGTACAAGGCATCTAATCTATCTCACATTTGTTTTGCATTAGAAAACTTACTTAATTTCCGAAGCATATTGTCAGTTAAATGCAACACAATACATGCACATGCACATTCATCCATTTCAACACATTTTTTGGGACGTGTAGCATTATCGTATGTATCATCTATTGCTCAAGTAATTTTTTAAGTAATTAAAATACTTTTCATTCTTTGTTTTCAAATAGTAAAATATATTTTCTCATCAAACAGCTGCATATTAAAATATATATATATATCCATATGAGCAGTCATTTATAAAAAAAAATATATATATATATTTGCCCATAAAGAAAATCACTCAAAAACACAATTCAAGCAATTAAATGCATTCTACCAATCAAACACAAAATTTGCAACAACAACAAACTAGAGCCACGAAGTAAATTATTAATCAATTACCAAACAAAAGCACAAAGAACGTCAAGATTCTAAAGAACAGACGATATTTGCAATTAGCAATTCACCAAGAAAGTATCTAATCAATAGATTCACCAAAAAAATTAAAAATAGAGGGTTTAGCCTTTTACCAAAATCGATCGATCTATTACCAAGATCAATTTATCTGAAGATTATGTCTGAACTCGTTGCTTTGATAGATTTGATCCTGATACCACTATTGTGATTTTACTAATCTGTCAAATAACAGAATCAACATCAACTAGAATGTGTTCCAAACAAAAACAACAGGCAAGCACTAGATATTGGTTCAACTTGGTATTCAACTCATAGAACACAATTTATTATTTAAAAAGAAAACAAGATTGAAAGCAAAAACACTTCCCTATTTCTTCTAACTCCGGACAACGGCAATGACCGGACGACAGCGATCACAGGCGCAAGGTGGCATACAACAAGAACGGCTCCCTTCTCCGGTGACTAATGGCAGCGGATGAACAACGGTGAGGATCCTTTAACGACTCCGGCAACTTCCTCTGGCGATTCCCAAAACAGCTCAACAAGAACGATTTGGAAATTCTTTTGATGGCTCAGTCTACAACCTAATGACTTGCTTAGAGACTAACCCAATAGCCTCCCAACAAAACCTCAAACCTACGAACTCGATCTAAAACCCTAACACTTGACCGATTTCCCCAAGAATTCACAAAGAACACACAAAGAAACAACTTATAATAAGGGATTGAACGAGAACGCCTGCAATTTTGGCGAAGAAATAAAACCTCCAAAACTCACCGAGAAGAATCGTGAAGAAGAACCGGAGAGGAAAAAATCGATTTTTGTTTCTCACACCAATTGAATCGAAAAGGAGAAGAAGGTGAGATATAAAGTGCGGGTCAGGTCGAAGTTTTAGTACTGGGCCGGGTTATAGGGTTTGGGTTACGGGTTGGGTTTGGTTTTTGGATTTGGGCTAATTTCAACAAAGTGAAAAACAACTCAAAAGAAATCATGAAGACGTGGATATTACAAGAGAAATTAAGTCAAAATGTGATCTATGAGTATAAAATATAAACCTCACGAAGAATTAAAGAAAAAGATCCATGACTGTGAAAAGAAAAAATAAAAACTAGAAAGAATTTTCAAGAAAAATATTAAGGATTTGTGAAGATCATTCATGATAGCTTCTTTAAAAGTTTACTAAATAAATCCATGATGATTAAGGGTAATGAGGTATTAAAGACAACTAAAAAGATTGGAATTGATGGTTATAAATGTTATTTGAGTAAACATTGATTAAGCATTGATCAAATGAGGACACAATAAAATACAAAGGCAAAATGAAGCAATCCAAAGGTACAAATATGACTGTTACAGGAGTTACTCAAAAAGATAATAATTATTCCTTCGTAGTATTAGTATTGAAATGTTTTCATTTTCTATTTTGGTCCGTCCCAAAACAAAGTTACAATTTTCTAATTTAGTAATTGTACTACCTAATAAATACTTTTTCAATTTACAATATATTACACAAATATCATTAATTTTATATTATACCATACTAATAATGATATTTTTATCTTTTTTACTACAACCAAATATAATACTAATATTCAAAAATTTTCGTGCAAAAATCAAATAACACTCTTCCAATAGGACGGGAGGAGTAGAACATTAATGAAAAAGAAAGTTATTTGTCCCGGATGAGATCAGGTGCTGAATAAAATATTCAGTTCATTAAAAACGTGTGTTGAAACTCACAAAATTAATTACT